GCGTGTTCGAGTCCAGGCCTGCCGCCAAGCTGGTGACGGCGAGCTGCGTGCAGGCGTGGGGACGCTGTGACGGGGTGAACGTCACAGTCATCGACACGGCTGACATTCTCCACCCGGGCGCTGCCACCAGCGAGGCGTACAAAGAAATCGCCCGCTGCGTCAGGCTCTCCTCCCCGGGCCCCCATGCGCTGCTGCTGGTAACCCCGCTGGGCCAATTCACCGAGGAGGACGCGGAGGCGGCGCAGAGACTGCAGGACATTTTTGGAGCCGATGTTCTGAGGCGCACCGTCGTCCTGCTGACCCACGCAGAGGCGCTGGCGGGGAGGCCGCTGCAGGAGCACCTGCGACGTGGCGGCAGCGAGGCGCTCCAGGACCTGATCCTGCAGTGCGGGGGGCGGTGCTGCAGCTTCAGGAACGGGGCGGCGGGGCTGGGGGCGGTGCGGCAGCTTCAGGAACGGGGCGGCGGGGCTGGAGCAGGAGCAGCAGGCGGCCAGGGTGATGGGGATGGTTTGCCGGGTGCTGCGGGAGCACGGGGGCACGTGGCACAGCAGCGCCATGTACCTGGAGCCCAGTCTGACGGAGGAGAAGGTGCGGGAACACATGGGGAGGCACAGAGCAGAGAGGAGGAGGAGGGAGCGGGCCAGAGCTGAGCCGCAGAGGAGAATCGTGGCTTGCGGGATCGTGCTCTTTGCCCTTGCTCTGCTCTCCCTGATTTTCCTTCTTTTCCCCGATCGTCTTTATTTTTTCCTGAGATTCCATATTTTGCAGTAGCGAGGGACCACAGAGTCACAGGAACGCCGTGGCTGGCAGGGACCCTTGGGGAGCGTCCAAGCCCTGCCCAAGCAGGGTTCCCCGGAGCGGGCTGCCCAGCACCACGTTTCTGGCCCCCCTCCGGGAATGGAACCCCCCCCCCCCCCCGGGGCCGCCGGAGCCAGTGCTCGTCCCCCTCACAGCCAAAAACCTTCCCGATGCTTAAATGGAATTTCATGTTCGCATCTGCACCCATTCCCTCCCGTCCAGCACCACGCAGTCTCCATCTGGCAAGGACAGGATCCCCCTGAGCCTCCTCCTCTCCAGGCTGAACAGTCCCAGCCCCCCCAGCCTCCCCCCAGCTCCACTGCCCCAGTCGCCTTTGCAGCCCTTCACAGGACCCGCTCCGGTGCATCCATGTCTGCCGGGCACACGGCGTGCTCTGCTCCTGGGACGCATGCCACGCTCCAGCCCCCATGCAATCACCACCCATTTTGAGGGCGATTATAAACTAAAACACGTCAAAGCCACCGCCCCCCACCTGGGGCTGCCCTCCCGCTGCACCACGTGCAGCCCCGGGCGCCCCGGCTTGCTGCTGTGTGCGCAGCCGCCC